TCGCTATCCCTTTCCTGCTCGTTCTCCCCGTCTCAGTCACACCTTTGAGGAAACGGAATGAGAACGGAACACTGGCCATCTTGCGCATGTCGCGATGCTACATCGTTTTTAGGGGCGTGGTCTGCCTTTCTCGAAATTCCACTCAAAGTCCTCTTCCACTCACACTCAAATTTCCAGTCGCTCTGTGGTGAAGATAATGAGCTCCGATTCTTTGAGCCCGGTTTACTGACTGCCCCAACTTGATTACATTTTGACCTTCTCGTCCCGCTTTGTTTTCTCCCTTTCTTTGTTCATTTGTTTTCTTCAATGTTGCGACTTGTTTGTTGCATATTTGATAGGCTACTGTACCGTGCGACCTCGGTGCCAGCTCATTAACAGTCTCCCTTGATTTCGCTTTGGGTTTTTAATTAAAAAATGTTGGGTTTTTTTTTGGTTTGGATTCTCTTTAGGAAGGGGGGCAGGTTAAGGGGTAAATTTAGAATTTCAGGTGGTAAAAATATCTGCCAACCAATGTGTTTTGTCTTAACTTTACATTTTGTGATTTTACGTAAATAATATTAAACATTAATTTTTTAAAACCAGCTGTTGAATAACATAATAAAGCACGTTTAATAATTGTAATTAAATATATCATGTACAACTAAATAAATAACATTTGAGTTCTTTTAATTTTGTTTCTTGTTGTTTAATTTATTAATTTTTTTTTAACTGTATAATTAAAAATAATGATAGCAGTTTTCACTCACTTCATCAGTTCTATTTTGTTTCAACATCACCACATTATGGTTTCATAAACATTAATTGCTCCTTAGCTATGTTTTTCCAAAAATAACTTGAGACTTACGTAAATATACCCAACCCAGCATCCTAAACTGTCTTGAACTTATCCATCTTTTAATACGCCTGCCATCCCTGTCCCCTAGTCGTATCGTTCCAATTTATATAAATAGATTGCCCCTACAATGATCATTAAAAACGCATACCCTGACATTGTTTTGCTATAAACATAAACAATAATTCAATTCGCTCTGGTGGCAGCAACAACAAGGATGACACAGAGGTAGGGGCAAAAACAAAGCGAAAAACACGGCATAATCAATGTCGATGTCTGCCTACACGGGCTGCCGCAGCAACACCCACTCACGGGTACGGATACAAATACGGCCACATCGTACATTACCCACTCGGAGATAGAGAGACATCCCCGGAAAATAGACAGGATATGGGGGAGCAAAAGGAAAAGCGCTCGTATATCAGCATTGGAATCCACCCGGCAAAACCCCAGCAACGAAAACAATTTGGTAAGTTTTCGAAAATTTGGCGAGTGCGAGCGAGAGAGCGCATCTAATCCGGCGCGCAGGACCAAATAATCTTCCTCTCGCTTCCACTACCGCCAGTTTCATGGTTCTATGGCTATATGGCTCTGGTTTTCGGTGGAGTCCATGTACAAAGCTTAGAAATAGACAGACAATAAAAGCTTCATGAAGCGACATTGCCGACGCCATCATTTGAGTGGAGTGTGCGAGCGAGAGAGGGCCAAGAGGCCTGGGGGCGGGAGCGGGAGCGACAGGGATAGAGCGTCCATGAAGTTTCTGTTGATTTTTATCATTTATCGATTTCGAATTTGTGTCGAGGGACAATTTAGTGGCCCCCATGTCCCGGTCCCAATGTGTCTATGTTTTGTTGGCCATTCTCTCCACTCCACGGACATTCATGAGGTGTCGTCCCGAATCCAAAAGGGGTGAAATGGGCGAAGGGGCCTGGTGATTTGATGGCCGACTGCAAAACTCCGTCCTGTCATTGTCAGGCTAAACTGCTGTCGACTGCCGGGGAGTACATTTTTGGCCAGCAATCCAGCCGGGGACCCCTTGTTGTCGTGCTATTTATGGCCAGCACACATATTCGAAAACCAGCTCGTCCTCGTAATTCTCCTGGCACTCTCTTTTCGAGTGGGAGGGTCTCTGACTCCCTATTCTATCGATTTTCTGGGAGTGCTCCTTAAAGGATGCCGTTAAACTTTGTTGAAGGTTGTGGGAAACTTCAAGGAAACGTTGCTGACGTTTTCTTGGGTTTTTTTTTCAAAGCTAAAATTTTTATTAAGAACAAAGCGTAAGAAGAATTTTAGCAAAGCGGAAAACATTTTTTGTTTTGTTTTTGTGTTGCACATCCTTAGCTTGAACTTCCATAACGACAACTACAAAGTTGTAGTGAAAATTTAATTATAAATACACGTATAATCATTTCTCACTGACAGTAATTCGAGTATTATATATCAGGGACCGAAAAAAATCATTATTTTCCCTTGTTTATTTTCAAAGTATAAAATACGTGTCTTTAAATAGCCTGATAATCAACTGAATTATACCATTTGGTTGTATTTTGGACCTTTTCGAACCTGCAACTTCTTTTTATATCCGTTGTTCATCCAACATGTAAACATTCCAATCTTGTTGTAATTCCGTACAGAATGGCAGCCATAATGTTTTCAGTGATATTTTTAAGCGACAGAATATCGCTTTCAAAACAAGCATTTTTTCGGAGCGATATTTTATTTCGCTTATATAAGTAATTATTACTTTCTGATAAATTAAACAAATCTCAAAAATAATTATTATTATTTATATTAGGACCTTAAGATTTAAGAAAACTAACTAACAAATAAAAAATATGTCTATAGCTTATCAAATCAAACAAAGATTAAAGGACTAGGTTGTATTCCTAAATAGTTTGTATAAGATAACAATAACAAACCAACAAAACTCAACCAGCTAAGTCATTAAAATCCCTCTAAAAACTGATCCAGATCAACATTTAAGCCGTTTAAGTGTATGATTTTTGAGATCTCTAATCTTATGCAATGCCAGTACTTTTGTGCATTCTCCTGGAGCCCGAAAACAATAAGGCAATTAATCAAATTATATTTGACACGCCGGGAACACAAACAAACCGAATTGGCAAGCCCCGTTTCGAAGTCAGTTTGCAATATTTCAGCGGGCAGATTAACAGACCTGAGGTCCTAAGACAAATTATCCACCAGGGACACGTTCGCACACAGGAACAGTTTATTGTTTGCTTTTTTTTGCTGAAATTCTATTAACCTCAGCGTCAATAAGCGGCTTAGATGGGATTTACCTGAAACTGATCAGGATTCGAAATTGAGAAGGAACCGAAAACGGGCACGTTCGACTTTCTGTGGACGCCTGCGCAGCTGGCGAAAAAGAAAACCTCATTCAAAATGGCAAATTCAAAGGCAATTCACACTCGTTCGTCAATTGCTGGAAATTGACTTTGGGCGCGTACTTAGACAAAGGTGAAAATACTGGAGAAAACTCACCGGAACTGTGCGGAAGTTCATCCGATTGCCTTTTATTTGATGGTGAAACGTGCCGGGTTCAATGGGTTCCATGAGTAAGCAGAATTCGCACAGTGTATGCCACCCATTCTTCTGGCATTTGATCTACGATCCCAAGTCTCCTCCATGAATATCACGTAATACGGCGGCTGTTTGCTGAGCTGCCGCTAATGGCTCGTCTAGGTAATTATCGTCGGTATGCTAATGGCGTTTTGAACGGACTCGCCCCCCCTCAAAAAGAGTTACCGATACCGATTGTTTGCCATTGCACTCGCTGTTAAAGCATGATTAATGTGGGTGCCCCATTAGATGCGAGTCAACAATGGCAGTTCGGTAGTTGCAACAGTCAGTATCCGGACTCCAGACTCCAGAGTCATTAGCCAGTCTCAGTTCAATGAGTTGCGGATAATGTCTAGATGTGCCATGATAGTTTTAGTGGAGGAGTGAGACCACTGGGAAGATACTCTCCATTGCAGTCGGGTTCTTAACTCAATGAACGTTGAGATATTCAAGTAAATTTGAGTAAAAATACGATTCATAATGGGAGTTAATGATTCCATTTTTGATTTTGCAGCGTGAGAGCCTTTAAAAAGTATTTGTGTGTTACCTTCGAACTATATAATAGAAGGCTTGGAAAAACCATTGTTTTGAAGAGTTAACTGTCATTATAAAATTATTAAATATTATTAAATCGGCTAAAAACCTTGGATTCAAATTCAAGAATAATTTCAATTAGCTTTCTTTAAACCCATATTCTACCTTACATTATATTAATAACATTTTTATCTCATTACTCACGCTTCCATCTCCAGCTTCCATTATTTCAATGTCTACTTGTTGCATTCAGACTCTTGCCCCATTCATACCACCTTGGAGGGCATTCATAATTTAATGATATTTATTGTTATTGGCCAACACCCCCGATTTCCTCTCGCTACAACCTGCTTCGATTCCATTCATGGCCTGTCCAATGTTTTCTACTCATATGCTCACTTGATTGACAGTTAATCAATCTTTCGTTTTTAGTTTGATTCTTTTCACACATTCCCCTATTCTTGGGTGACGTTTTCGCCTCTCCTTCTCCTTTCACTCGTCCATTCATTTGTCTGCACCTTGTTGGCCAGAAATACTTTCGAGTTAATCCTTTTGACTTTGTCCGTTTGACGGATTGTCGTTTGACTGACTGACTGACTGACCGGATTGACGGACTGACCGGATTGACTGCATGCGAGGAGTGTCTAAAGCAGATTTCCGGTCTGTAATTGTTATGAGTTTTAAGCCCTGAGAATCGATTCTTAATTCCCTTGTAGGTGTTGGCTGATCGGATTTTTTCGTAAAATTCTTCTGCAATCCTGGTCTCTTTTTGTACTCTAAGACCATTTTTGTATATGCCTATTCTCCCATTCCATACAAATTTCTCCCTTCAGAAAACCAGACAATTTTTAATTCAAGTTGACCATTTCTATTTAAAGCGCGACTGTGTTAAAATATAATCAAATTTTTTAAGATAAAAAATTAAATATATTTATTTACATAAATATTTATAAAGTAACAATTTGTTATCTTTACCCCATAGTTTCCCTTTTAAAAATAAAAAACTACCCTTGAGAACATTACTTTTATACTTTTCCTTGCATTTTATTTTTTATCAATTCGAAATAATTAAAATTACAATTTAATTTAAATACATTTTACATATAATTTACCGCAATAGTTAATCATCATGTCTTGCGTCTGTATCATGATCAATATTGTGAATATTGTTGCGCAATCTCAGTTAGCATAGTTAATAGTTTATATATATATATTTAATTGTATGAACTAAGGTCGGTTCTAATGCACGAAATTACATTAAAGTTAGGGATTAGTAACTAAACATACAGTATGTAATAAATTCAGTTTAGTTTTTGTGCCAGTGCCTCAACTCCCTACGATCTGCTTACCAATTAGCGACGTTAATTAAGCTTCATGTTAAATTTAATCTTTAGGAAATTAACATAAATATTTACACACCTAATGAACAAAGTGGGGAAATTAGTCCGAGAGTAAGAGAGGAAAAATGAAGTCTTCAGAAGACGGTAAAGTGGCAAAACCTTAAAACTCGAACCCAAATTACTTCTAGCTGCTGCTGCTGCTGCTGCTGCTGCTGCTGCTTTTGCGGCTTCTTATGCTGGGCTTTCTAGCTAATTAGCTGGCGCATTGAAATTTATCCTAAGTGTATTCCATTCGATTTCATTGCGAGTCCATGTCCGCGCATAGTTTGTAAATTCGTTTTAATGACGATAATTATCCGGCTGCTGTTGCGAGGACCCGGAGCTGTTGCTGCGACATCTTTTGTTCTGGACCGGGGACTCTCCCATATCGAGGCTTTCGTTATCGCTGTCCATTGTCTCGCTGCAGTCGCCATCGTTGTCGCCACCCATGTCATCCTGTTTCCGCTTGGCCGTGGCCATTTCCGCCGCATGCCGTTTGCGCCACTTGGTGCGACGGTTCTGGAACCAGACCTGCAAATAACCCAAAAGAAATACGCTTTAGTGGGGCTCTCAAGTTTTAAATCGAAAGTTCTCTGCATGTGTAATTAGGCGAGTCACATTGTCAAAGTCATTAAGTCGGGGGGCGAAGGCCCGGCAACAGCCCATAAGTCGCATCATCAACGCCGGTTAACCCTCAATTAAGACAATATTAAGCCCTGGGCAGCCCAAATGGCGAAATGTAGCCCGGCAGCAACAGCAACAGCAGCAGCAGCAGCAACAGCAACAGCAACAGCAACAGCAACAGCACGGCAGCAACATCAACGGCACGGCAGCAACACTGCTGTGTTTCAGCGGCAAAAACTATGCACAAAACCATGACTAACGTCTTTGGCTGCGCTTCATTTTGCCGGCCTCGTTTGCCTCGCTCTGTGGCAACATATGTTGGCCAAAATCCTCCTCCCCTTTCCCCATCATCCCACTCCATGGCCCATGGCTGTTTAAAAGGGGGATTCACCACGCAAGTCCCAGCACGTTTTCCAGCTTTCCGCTCTTGCCTGCGGAGGCGAGCTCCGACTCAAAATCGGCATAATTTCTACATTTGCCTGATGATGGAGCAGATTTTGGGTAGCTGTTTGCAGTTAGAATCATTAACAAAGCGTATAAATAGGCACTTAATGTAAGAGTTCTGTTCTCCACTGGATTTTGGAACCAGATTTCAAAATATGAATGGAAAAGATAAACAAATTTTTGTTGTTGAATAGATTTTTGTTCTGAGGTGAATTTTATTTAAATGGTTTTAGTTACTAATGTACTTTGTAATTTAAAGAAATCTTTGAATTTTTTATTTAATATTGACAAGTAAATATTTAAATCTTAAAAGTTCTTAGGAAAGAGATGAGCACAATTGCTCTTGTAATATTTAAATATAATTGCTTGTACTCTGAATGACTATTGAAAATATAAATATATTTAAGCTCATATTCCAAGCTAAATTCCCTTACGCAAGAGATTAATTTAATTAACTTAATTACCTATCCCAGACTGTCATAACCATTTTCGTAAAACATTTTCTCGCACCCGTAACAAATTCAACGCCGAACCCAACAACCCAAAGGTGCAATTAAACCAGATACAGAATAATTTACAACTTCATTTGCACATTTGTGTAATTATTATTTGCAACATTATGCGAAATAAAAATACAATTAATATTTTCCGTGTGTTACAAGCCGCAGAGTAGAGCGCAGAGACAGAGTTTTCCAGTGTCTTGGCCCTCGGAAAAACAACAGACAGCCAACGGCAGCAACAACAGCACTAGCTGGCATCATTAAGGCTGCTTTTCATGGTCATTATTTTTTGGTAACATCTGTGTCCATGTTGTTACGGGATTTGCCACTGAGCCATGGGCAAAAAGGAAAACTGAGCTTGGAACAAGTGGCTGGCTTTCTGGCATTTTCCCTTTTCCCTCGCTCCCTTTCCCACTCGATTTTCCACGTCTCCATTTCCCATTTTGTCGTCATCATAACGATGGTGTATGCGTCATCTAGCACCCACTAAAGCATAGTTGATGTTGCAACGACAACAGATTGCTGACTGTTAAGGAAATATTCAAGTCCTGGATCCTGAAAACCTGAGTGGCCAATAGAAAAGTAGTTTTTCGAGCAAGCTAATTCTTAAATAAATATTTAAAGAGCAATATAAACATTTCTTTTAGCAATTTACTTACTTATTACTGAATTTTGTACAGACTTTAGTATTTTTGAGATAATGTGTTGTAATAGAATTTTCTAATTCTTTTGTTACTTTAAATATGAACTACTAATAGTTTGGTTTAAGCAGGCTAACATAAAAAATCAATTTGTTTATTTTTTCCTTTCGTTTAACCTTTTGTTGTATAACTCCTATACTTTTAATGGATTTTTTAGGACGATCGTTGGTTTTGATTTCTTGAATCATACCCAACTGAAATTTCACAACTGTTTGCAACACTTTTATGGCCAGCATATCGAATATCAGCTGAGAACTTAGAAGCCGCCTTGACAGGAACCGACAGATAGATAGCCAAATGGCTGTTGCAGAAGATGGTCAAGGGAGCCGAACAATATTTATGACAGCCAACATGTCAAAGTCAATCAAATATTGTGGCAATCAATTTGACTTGGTCGCGTTACGCTTCGATTTCGGATTGGGATTTATTTATTGCGGCAGGAGCAGCATAGCAGCACCTCCGAAAAGGGGGAAAAAACGTGTAGAGCCCTCAAACAAAAGGAAAACGTTATAAAACATATTCCATTTTGGCACCACAGCGGGAGTCCCTGTTTTCTGGCCATCCGTCAGGTGGGCCCTCAGATAAGGATAAAAAGTGTTATGTAAATTTCGTAGAACGGACGGGATGTCAAAACCAAACCTTCAGCGTGGTGCCCTCAAAGCGAAATATATGACTCTTTGGGCAAATTGGAAATTTATTTGTTTACGCGTCCTGTGCGGGGGATACTTAAAAGTCATGAAAATTTACAACATGGCTGTGCACACCGATGGCCAATTCTGGTGCCTTTTTGGTAACTGGTAACATCGACATCTGACAAGTTGGCTCCTACCTCGCTCACCTTTTTTTTCCTATTGGTCCACAGAATTTTTTATTTATTTATTTTAGCCAGCGAATGTGTGTGTGTTTTGTAGTTCTGGCTCGTAAATTTCCGAATCCGTATAGCCGGCTCGCCCTCGCTCTTTATATGGGTTCGCTTTTCGTATTTATGTGAGTTTGTGATTTATTTGATTTTGTATTTCGAAGCCATAAACTTGAGGCCAGCTCAGGGTTTGAGTCATAAAAATGCATTTGGTTTTTGGCTTTTTTTTTTTTGAGATATTTGACTAATTGTTCGGCAACTCTAGAAATCGTCTTCAGCGCTTATGTAAATTACTGGGTAAACCCATTCATTAACACACAATCAAATCCATTAGTCGACCACAATAGAATTCTTCCTCATCACCGAAAAAAATCAATTAGACATTATTCCCTATTTCTGTCATAAGTTTTTATGAACCGGCCCATTGTCATCTGGTTGGCCCGTCAGTTTTCGTCAGTTGCCCATTGTCATTGCCAAACTGTCACTTCTGACAGTCGCCCCGAATTGGATTTAATCCATAAGCTTTCATTATTCCGGTGCTAATTATGCGGCCCGATCTTTGTCTCCTCAAAAGTAACAGATCATAAAATGCCATTTTAGCCATAATAAAATATTGTTTTCATCAACAGCCAATAGCTTTTAGCTATATTCCTAAAAATGTTCTTTTATGACAGCTGAAAATGGATAATTTCCTAGAAACTGGTGTTGTGGTATGCTAAAAGCTTCAAATAAACATTAAATTGTTTTTTGATTAAAGTCATTTACAAGTCAATTTTTAAAAGATTGTTAATTATAAGTAAACAAGGCTTTGAAGTTTGATATAAAAGTTTTAATAACTTTGTCATAAAACAGAAAAATACAAATACCATTTAGTTAAGTTCAATAATATTTCTAAAATACGCTATTTAAGTATGGAAGCCAATAACTTAGTTAAATATTTCATCACATGAAAATACCCCATAATTGCTTATACCCATATTTAACTAATTCCCAAAATTATCTTTTGCTTTAAGCCAATTACATCCAATGGAAACTCCTACTTTCCATGTTTATCGTGCTCTTTGCCATTATTTCTATCCACCTACTATTTGCAAAACAATCCCAACCAAAGTGTTTACATACATTGACTGAACAATCAGGACCGAAAATGCCATTACATTTATGCAAAACAAGAGAGAAGTGCGGGCAAAAATCACGAAAAAGCTATAACAAAAAAACATGCAATAATTTTATTGCCCGGAGTGGACCTCCTAACTATGCCCCCACACATGGACTGTCATTAATAATGGCCACAGACGCTATAATTCACCCGGGGGCGGAGGGGGCGTGGCAGTGGACGCCCCCCCACTCATAAGAGCGTACAAAATGGCGACCATTTGCATTAAATGATTGCTAAAACGAAGGACGAAAGGAGTTGCTCTCGCTCTTTCGACGTCTGCGTCCAAAAACGGTTTTAATTATGATAACAGCGCAATTATTCTTGTCAAGATCATTTGACCAACCACCCACATGCACTGCGAGAAAAATGTCTAAGCTTCTTGACCTATAAAATGTCTCAAATTAAAAAATTATCTTTGAAAATTAAGTATTTAGTAAAAAAAACAAAAAAATATTTAATACAATAAACGGACTTATCAACTGTTTTTACTTTTGAAAAATGGAAATTTTTTTAATATTTTTTCGGTTTGGTTCAGAGAACCATATGCAAAAAAAGGAACCATCAAAAAATTTCATAATTTGCTTTGAAACCACATAGACAGTGAATGTTTTAGAAAAATATCTTAATTATATCTTCCTGTGTACTGGCCACTTTGCATTTTGTCTGTCTGTCATAATTTGACTTGGTTTTTGGAGGCGGCTGTTGTCCAGCTTCTGCCTTTTTGTTTGTCAATTTGCATACTATCATCGTCATGGCTGTTTTTCATCTGGCTCTGACTAACACACACTGGCACACATGCACGCACACTAATTGAATATGTATGAAGCTGGCAGGATGCCCGTCGTTGTCGTTGGCGTTGTTGTTGTCGTTGTAGTCGTACTGACCACGTCCCTCTGCATTTTGTGCCATCCCGGGTCCAGAATTTAATTTACACTCACCCAAAAGTCATGCAGTCATTTGGCATGTCTATCAGAGAGATGAGTTGAGACAGAGCGGAAAAGCGGGGAAAATGGGTGAAATTTGGGGCCGAACTCCACCCCAAAATCCTACAGCTTCCATCCATCTCCCCGTCCATTTGTACTCGTCATCAGCGCATTCCCCATCCTCCGCTCCCTTTCGTCCTGTTTAGTCCTTAGCACAAAATGACGCATATTTAGCTGCAGCTCAAGCCATCAATCCCGAATGTTCATCTATCTATCTCTATCTCTGTTCCCTTGCTGTCGCTGTCTCTGTCTCTGTCTCCGTCTGCCCTGTGCCTCATTCTTTGGCAATTAATCATTTTTCCTCATCATAAACGTGATTTCTTTTCCACTCCTGATTGCGCCCAGTTGTGTGGCGAGAAAAGGTTTTCGTTTTGGGGGAAAGAATGGGGATGAGGGTGGTGTTGCACAAATGAGGCAATCATGTCCTTCTAATCAGGATATCCGTTTGGGAAGGAATGTTCTATGATAGTCAAGCACTTAGGTAGAGTAACACCATGTAAGAGTTTTAATTTAAATTTAAAATGACTGATGATAATTCTTTTTCTTTAAAAACATCTTATTTGTGAATAATAAACACGATTGATTGTTTCTAAATTTAAATTTAAATCATCCAAAAAATTTAATATTTTAATAAAAAAAAATAAAAATAATGTTTTTAAGTCAAAAATAAGGTTGCCGAAACCCGCTTTGCAGGACTCTAACTTTTCTCGGCTTTCTTCTTCGTAACCCACTGTTTTTTGGCGATTTTAAAACCCACCGCAAACCAATTAACTTGCCCGGCTTACAACTAATTCAAGAGTTACAAGGCCAGCGGGACAGAACCCACAGCTCAGATACAGATACGCGGCGAAAGATACAAAATCCCGGACGACACACGCGGCGAAACCACGGAAAATGGACCATGACACGTGCGTTTCCCCGGGTCGGATTACAACAAAAGTTGATGACAACAAATTTGACGACACAAAGGATTTATTTGTTGATAACATTTCCTTCTTTTTTTCGTGCACGGGCGGAAAAAGAGGAACTTTAAAATGGTGCTTTATGCGGGGTTGCTGCGAGGATAACACATTGCACTAAGCCTTTAGGACGCGGTCCTCGGGGAATGGGGACCATCGAGACCCATTGGCGCCATTTTGTATTTCGGGGTAAGGCCGAAATCCACGAGATTTGCCTTTCAATAAAAATGCAAATTTGTCAGAAAAGTCAGGGGCAAAACAAGCGGAGTTCTGCTTACTTCTTCTGTCTACCTTTTCGGAGTAAGTTTCTTTTTTTGTTTCGTTTGGGTCCGGGTTGATTGCCTCATACGCCATTTTTATGAGTTTTTAATTTGCATTTACCAAGGGCCAGGGGCCCTGTGAGTTCATATTTGCTTACCTTAACCTGCGACTCGGACATTCCTAAGGCATATGCGAGCTTGGCACGCTCTGGACCGGCCAGATATTTGGTTTGCTCGAATGTCTTCTCAAGGGCGAAGATCTGCTGACCACTGAATGTTGGGCGGGTGTGTTTCTTCTTGCCATCCTTGTCGTTCGATGGATGATGTTGATGCGATTGAGATAGATTGGCGGACACTGAAAAGGTTGGAAATCACAAATAATTATTTTAATTAAATTTAAAGACTTGTTCATTAACTATAGTTAAATTGAATGAGTTCTAATAATCAAATGGTTGTTGATAGACACAATTTTCTAATATAGAAATTTTTTTTTTTCTCTGTAAGACCTCCTTAATATCTAATTAAATTCCTCACCTCTGCTTTCAATAAGTATAATGACCCAAAACTTTTCGAATTTCCTGAATTTAAACACTTTGAGTACCTTGTTTACAAGCATTGCTCAAAATGTATACATTGCGTCTCCCCAAAAACTGTTATTATGAATTGTATAATAATGTCGCCGTGAAGATGTGGACAAAGTTGTTTAGCGCATCCTGGGGTGGTTGGCAAACGGTTTCCTTGTTGCGGCAGAAAAGTTTTATGACATTTATTAATTGTTTACGAGGCGACAGCTGCTAATTTGAGAATAAACTTTTGCGACAAAGGCCCTGGAAAAGGTGTTTAGGGGTTGGCAACTAAAAAGAGAAGACTTTTGAAGCCTGCGAAATATTCGTGTAACTTATATTTAGCTATTGTAAGTACTCTTTGAATTTGAAAACATTCACAACAAGGTTACACTAATTCTAGTATCCCACCAAATACTGTTAAACATGACTAATATTATTTCGCCAGCCGAAAAATAATTGCACACTAATTACAATTTGGCAACAAAATGAATGTACGAAGGACCCAACTGAAAAAAATCCCTATACACACGTTTGCCCAATTAACAAACCGAAATTGACCACAGCAATTTATGGTACAAGAAAGACGAAGACCAAAAAGAAAACTTTTGCCGTCGAGGGTCGTCGGAGCCTTCATTAAAATCAATTAGCAAAAGCGACGACGACGACAGCGAGAGGCCAATAAAAGCGGACCAAAAACAGCACGCCCATCCGGCGGTCACGCCTCCACTCCAAAAGGGGCGGTTTCACGGGCGTAGGCGGGGAGGGGGGCTGTTGCCCGGGGATACGTGCCCAGTTGGCTCGTAAAGTCAGTCAAGTGGACATGGAGGGTGGTAATAAAATTAAACGGTAGCCGTGGGATTGAGAAAAGGGAGTGGGTGGTGGTGGTGGTGTTCTGTGTGTGTGCTTTCAATTAATGTCACCCCATTATTAAATGATCCCTAATTATGTGAAATGATTTAACTAAATATGCACAACGCAGAACCCAAAAGGGGACAGCGGCTGGAGGGGGAAATGAGGTTTTGGTAAAAGGTAAAGCCGCAGCCAGCCGTTGTCCTTAAAAGGGTGGTACTTTTTTGGGCTGCATTGGTCTGAAACTTTGTGTCCCTTTATGATACTTTGGTGCCATTTGTGCAAAATTATTAATTTAAATTGTTATTTCTAGCAGCTTTCATATAGATAAGGATATTTTTTATTTGGGTTAAGCCCTGCACTTTGAAAAATTAAATGAAATGGGAGGATGTAAGTTCTGGTAGAGACAGGGATTGTAATTAAACGCCATGCGTTAAACTTATAAAAAGATAATAAACACAAAAGGGCTTTACATTTAGAGAATATGGCATGTGGAAAAATATAATTTAAATAATTTTTGCCATTGAAATAATTTTTTAGTGTGTGAATTCTCGTAACGAATTCTGGTTATGACTTACGAGATTTTTATTATTATTTTTATAAACTATATTAAAGTATTAAACTTCCAAAAACGGTTTATTTCATTAATTTCTATTTCCATGTCAGCTGCTACTCTGGCCCACTTTTGTAGCCATGTTCGAATTATGAAAACAAAATGCCTTTCGAAATAAAAATGTGTGTGACATTAAATTTATAGGTTTTTATTTTTTTTTTGTTTTTCGCAGACAATTCTGGAGCTTAACAAGACTTGTCAATAAAGGGGGATAGGATGTTCGAGGGTAGCTCCCGCGGACTTTCGCTTTGAATGGGGTTCCGCCATGTAACAAGCGTAATCCCTTGCAAGAAAAATTGTAGCAGTGATAATTTTTTTATTCTCTTTCGGTATAGCTATCTCTCTCGCTCAGCCGCGATGCTCGACGATTGGCAGCTGCGTCCTGCAAGGACCCTCATAAATAACCGACAAATATGAAGCGTTTATTTGCTCATGTCACGGCCCTCAAACGCAATGCAATGAAATGGAAATGGAAAAGGCCACCCCTGCCCCCTTTTACGCCCCTCCTCACGCCCCTGTGTTCTTCGTCCTGAGGCAGCGGCAGTTGTCTATAATCGCATAAGTCACCCTGTTGGCATCGCTGCATTTGCACTTTTTCCCCCAACACTCGAATGGTTTTACTTTTCTATACACTTTTTTTGTGTTTTTCTTCAATGCCAATATTTTTACGGCATTAATTTTTTTTTTGGTCATTCCTTGGCGGGGTGGCAATGGTAACCAAAGCCAAGGTGGGCGTGTGCTGTTTTGTGTAAATGTTTCCCTTATTGAAAACATTAAAACGTCATTTATTATCGGGCGTGATGGCAAAAAGAAGGAGCAATTCACGCTGGAGTGAGTTTAGCGAGACAATCGTTAACACCAAATGTTGATAGATCATCATATAAAATCATAAAGCTGGAAGATGTTTTGATTGAAAAATTTGGCAAAAAATACATATGTGTTCGCTTAAAGATAAGACAAATTTAAGAGTTGAGTCTTAGGAATCATTATCCCTTAATTAGGCAGATCTAAAGTTTTTCTCAAATATGATTTTCCTTAAAATTATTATTATACATAAAATTTGTTTCCAATGTTTTCGGCTTATGCTGTATCTAATATTATTTTCAACAATTGTTGACTTTACTTTACCAAAACAAGCACATTTGTTTTAAAAATATCTAAGTCATAAATATTTGAATGTTTGAAGAAAACCATAAAAATAAATGTTTGTTATTTGGGTTTTTTATCTTAAACGGGAATCCAATAGTGATTCGCAAAACTTGTTGGACCATAAAACTCTTTATTAAACATTTCCATTGAAAAATGACCAACGAATCAAAAGGACTGTCTTTATTATAAATCTTTGTCTACAGCAGCTTTTTCATTTCCACTACTCGAAAGTTCTTCTCACGTTGATATAACAATCTTGTAAAATGTTTATGCCAATCTGGTTGTTGAGCAGTAAACTGCTCGCACACCAGTTGGGGCGGATAATCCGCACCTTTTTATATACCCCAGGTAGTTGGTGTATGGGCTACATATATATAGGTGGGATGGTCGGTTGCCTCATTAAGTGGCACTGCCGCCATCCCTGTCTGGTCCTTGTGTCTTGTGCGGTGTTTTATGGCCTGTTTTATGCCCGATTATATGCTTAAAGCACAACTTTTACAGGGGCACAACGAAGGGGCGGCGAAAAATTCCAGAGGGGATGACACAGAAAATGCCACTTGAATTTTAATTAAACGCAACAGCTAGACAGGCTCGTGCCATCTCTTTCTTCTGTCTTCATTAAGCTTAATGAGTTGTGTCAAATGCAGACTGCGGTTTCTCTTTTTGTCCCGCTCTGAATTTACGATTCTTTCCCTCTCGTCCTGTATTTACTTTTTATGCTAAAGTTAATTATTTCATTAGCAGAATGCGGTTACATGCTTTATTTTATTGTGTCTTTTAATGAATAATAAGCTACTCAGGAGGTCAACGAGTTCAAGGGAATGGAACATTTTTGTCAAGAAGCTGTGGCAACATATTAAATTAAACATAATTTCGATTTACTGAAGGAGACTTCGAATTAAAGACCAGGTTTTTGTAACAATTTAATAAAGAGACTTAAAAGATTTTATATTTGAAAAGTTCAAATTTTTAATATATGATTTTGATTTTGATGATTTTTTTGATTAATAAATATTTTGATAACAAAATGCAGTGACACTTTTTTATTATCTTGCTTTACTATACTTTATTTAGTATCTAGCTTAAAAATTTCTATTGCGTACTAACCAATGAATAATTTTGCCATTTGAACAATCTTTTATATCTGCACAGCGATAACTAACCTACTCCACTATTTACCTCGCTGATAAGTAAAGTTATGCAAACAATATTCATTTCCCCTATCAACCGTTATGTAAGTCAACTTAATCCCTTTCAATCATAATAAATAAAATTCCGCAATGAACTTGCATAAATTGAAAGCCAATAAATTGCCATTAATGAATTGCCGGGTAAATATTTATAATAAACAATAAATATAATCACAATGATAGGAACAGACAGGTGAAAATGCACATATAGACAAATAAATGAAACCTGGCTACCAAATGAAATGAAAAATTCCGGGCTTAATCAAAGAGTAAATAATGCCACCCAAAAGCTAATCAAATGCAATTGCATTATTAATAACAAATAAAATGTGTTGAAAAACAGGAGAACAAAAAATCATAGCATACTTTCGAGGGCAGGAAAACAAATTCAAATGAGATTGTGTGTGTTTGCGTGCTATGCGCACTCGCACACAGAGAAAGCAGGGAAAGCTTTCTCCCTTGTTAACATGACAGCCTACAAGCACATAAACACAAATACATACTTATATGCTGGGCTGCTCCATTTCGGGATAAAAGGAAGAAAAACTGAATAAAGTAAAACAAACCACCCCCCGCACTTTTGCTAGATAATAATGTGGCAACATATTCTCGCAGCGTCTGTGTCTGCCTTTATCTTTCTATATACATACATTATATATACAGGCAGTCTGCTTTAACATTTTGTTTTCGGCTAACGAAAGTTTTTTTCCGTCTGGGCCCACCAGCTGTCGCATCTTTGCAGCCATAAATACCGTATATACACAAATAAATAAAAAATAAATATAAGGAATGGTTGTATGTTTATGTAAATAGGGGAAATATGGCAATGTTCTACGTGGCCAAAGTTAACCAAAACAGAAATGATGTGGAAACAATGAGCCGGAGCAACTGACAATTGAAACATGTTTTTCAAATTCAATTCTATTTTATGGCTTGTTATCGTTGTCTGAGATTTTCAAATATAAAAGTATTGATTTTCATTTTGGTAACGAAAAATATATACGAAATCGAGATTGAGGTTTAGTACTTTAAGAATAAACAGTCATGAACATTTAATGTTGACATAAAACATTAAAATCTAACTTGTTAAAAGCTATATTTTTAAAGCGACAAATTAGTAAAGTACTATTCATTTCCAGTTATTTTTAATAGGCATTCATTTAAAATTTTAAGCTACGTGGGTATAACTTTTGAGTGCATTTGGTGTATAAGATAGGTAACGTTACAAGGTGCTTAATAAGGCAGAAAATTTTCATATATCCACTTTTCCAAATCTCTTAATTTCTGCTGACAATACTTAGTTACCTTTTTCTACCCATTCATCTGAGCAGTTGCTGCTCTGTTTAGCAAATCAATTAAATCAATATTTGCTTAATGTTGCCCACAGAGCTACCAAAAGCGTGAAAATTCCTTGGCAACTAACGACACACTTCAGAAATCAAATCGAACACAAGACAAACACAAACACAGAGTCTGTGCCACGAATCTCTCTCCCGATCGCCGACCGCCGATCCCCTGAATACAAGAAAATTGTGAACGATTTCCGACTTTTGGGCCAAGACATTTGTGCCCAGTCATGGCCGCAATTAAAAGGCAAACAGCAGCAGCAACAGCAGTAGCCCACAGCACTAAATCAAATCAATTGCCAATGCGAACCCAAAGGCGATAATGACGAGGAAGAGGGGGGGCCTTTAAACAAATAAACAATTGGGGAAAAGAGGAAAACGGGTTTCGGGCTGGTGGCACATTACTTAATGAGCTTAGCTCTCTGCCTATAAATAGATGTAATAATGAAGTAACCAGATCAGAAATCAGAAATCAGAAATCGGTTTGCCCAGTAAATTAATTTTTCATATGTGGGGTGCCATCCCAAGTCCCCGGCATCATCATCGCCATCATTATCGACTTTTGTGTGGAGTCATGCCGAAAGAGAGCTCTGCGAGCCCGCTGCTGATCGTGTTAAAGTGGTTCCTCAACACTTATTAATGAGTCGCACAATGCAACTTGCCCCCGTTGTAAGCCGCATCGGTAATCACTTGAGAAGCCCATCGCCTGATCACCGTGATCATTAGTTGGCCATTCGCTGCGCTTTGTTAACGGTTCCCCAAGATTCGATTCGATCCCCGCCTCCTGAACAGGAAGTTCAAATCGCAACGAGGTGTGCCCGCTGACAATCGTAACCAAATTACGCGCCCGATTCACTGATCTCTGATTGCACCGATCCCTTTCGAGATCAATCGATCACTCGCAAATTAACGTTTGTAAGCCGGCCACTTCCCCTCTACTTACTCGTATTGGAGAGGCGTTCGCGCCACGCGATCGGATTGGCCACCAATCCCTGAAGTCCCGGCCAGTACAGGTGCGTGCGGTCCACTATGTGTCCGGCGTGGGTCTTCAGCGGCGCCCCCTGACTTTGCGACAGATACTGGGCCATGCCCGCTGCGGCGGCGGCGATCGAGAAGCGGGGAATGCCAGCTGGTGAAAAAGTAATTGGAAAAGAAAGCATTAGTTAGTAAAAAGTGTTGCAGTCTTATCACCGAAGTTTCTCCCCACAGATGTAAAACTAAAGACGTAATCTATTAATTAAGATTATTTTCTAGTATCAACTTGGCTCTAAAGATTGTCAACAGATTACGACATAGTTTCTACCAAGTAGTATTTTCTGAATTATGGAAAATCATCCAAATGACACTAGTTGTGTGTCATATAAAAAAGAAAGAAAGAAGTTACCAATTGTCAAGCATCCTTTTAAATATAATTTATCTGTTATAGGATTCACATTGATATCAAATTAAGAACACAAGTTTTGTGTCCCTACACGCAGAGAAAAACCCCATATTAAATTAAACATTAAAATATTTGACTGTAACATTGTTTTTCAAAATATAAACTGACTTAAAGTGACCTAAATACATGTTAATGTCATTATTAACGTATTAACACATTCCAACTAAATCTATATACTACATCTATAAGATCTGATATTTAGATATTCCATTTTGTTAAACTTCCATATGTGTAAAAAGTTAAAATTCAGTAAAGTTTAAAAAAAAAAAAATAAGTCGGTATTATTTAAACATTATTATATGTATATTTAATATATATATTTCTCAAGCTAACAAAATAAAAATAAATTAGTAAGCGTTATTTATTTCCTTTATAAATATTCAAAACAAGTTATTCATATATGGTTGATGTAGCTTGACATAAAAAAACTTAAGATATATGCCGCTTCCCACTTTATCAATAATTTTAAACAGTAAACAAATAACTCCATTAATATCTTTAAATAATCAAATCAGTATTTATTTTATACACAGATTTTATTTGAAAAACTCAAAACCGATCCTATCAATCACGATTGCCAGCATAAGTAGAGAATACTTCATGATCAGTTTTATGTAATCACTAACAAAATACATACCCCATTAACTAATCCTCTCAAAAGTTTATTTCCCCTTCATGAGATTTTCGCCCAATTTGTTCTCAGCAAGCCAAAAAAGCCCACTCATGCTGAACTCATACACAAAACTGAATTTGTTTGAATTAATTAAAGGCCATTAAATAATTTGTCATAAAAAGAATGAGAGATATTTTCGGTGACCAAAGCACTTAAAGAAAAAATTGAAATATAAAAATGAACGAATCAAATCACATAAACGCCCTCGTTAAAAATAATTAAAAATGTTATGGCAAATTGTCAGCACCCTGTCGGCTGCGCCCCCTTTCAATCCACTGTCATGTCACACAATTGGTCTACATTTTTAGTGAAAAAGTCAAAAAATCAGAGACAGAGACAGAGAGGCTGAAAAACAAAATCATTTTAGTGAAACGACACAGTCACAGCACCCGTATCCCCCAGTATTGCCAACGTTTTTCGTGTGTCATTTTGATTTAATTACAAACAATTTGACAACTAATTGCTGCAACATTTAACGTTAAAACGCGTATCTCATTACGTTTTGTGGTAATTTTGCAATTGGATATTATAACCATTTGGGGTTTCGTAGAAAATGCTGTGCCCAATATCTGAAATTGGCCTGATTAGGTAAAGGGATCAGGGGGCGTAATTGCGGGGAGGGCCGCGGGTTGGGGAATGGCTTTTATTGAATCATATGGAATCATGCCAAACCGGATTCGTAAACAAAACAACAATTTTCGGTCGTTTTTGTTCGGTGGGGTAGCTCTTTTATTTTTCTGTTTGCTTTGCGGAACGAGTTTTTGAAGCATTTAAAATATTTCGCGTTTTTTTGGCGTGCATGTGTATGGTACATGCATAATATCTATTGATTCGCATTTGATATATATGTATTTTAGTGTTGCATAATAGTATGGTGAATTGATTTGGGGTCTGGGGTTAGTAAAATGTAAGTGCAAGAGGTTAGGAGGTCTTTAACAGGTTTTTAAAAAATCCTGTGTAGATCTCAAAGTCTTTACAAATGGTGGCATTTGTTTTTTTAATTTAGAAATTTTATTATTTGTTGAATAGTTTATTAAGCTCACTTAGATATCCTAATAATGTATTTCGAAATATTTGTTTAAAAATATATATAAATCCTCACTTAAGGGCCCAAGGTAAAAAGAAAACTAAATATAAACTTGCTGTTTTACTGAACTTAACTTTTTAACAATGTTTTCTTTTAAAATTGATCTTTATGACTATTTATAATTATTTGTAATGTATGTAAGACAAGTTCTGATTTAGTGATTTATAAACATAAATGTCGCTTTGTCAAGGGGACTAGCTAAGTTTAGTTATGCATGGTTTTAATTATGTTTGCTACCAAAAGTAGAAATTGGTTCACTGTATAATTGTCTATTAAATATTAAAATTAAATATGAAATCATAATATTCAACAGAATGCAAATTAGAATACATGATTTAATAATAACATATTAAATACGTGTGGAAAATATTAGATTTCAAATAGTTCCTATAGGAATTAATGCATTTTATTTGAGTTAAATGTTGTTTCAATTTAAAATAAATGTTAATTCAAATTTAGTATTTTCATATTTAAAATAACTAAAACCGCAATAGATGAAAATCATTATTTTCGCTAAATAAATATTTGATATGTTTTATTCTGATGTAAAATATTACACTCCCTTCATTATAACAAAACCTTGCCCATTACTCACCTCCTGTTAAAGCACTTAGACCCGCCGAAGTGACCGGCGGCGGTTTGGAGAGGATCGTGTCGATGCCGTGCGGATTGGGGGCTCCCTGGCTGTTGGTGTTCGTGGTCGTGGTGGAGGAGGACGAGGAACTGCCCCCGGATCCCCGATCGCTGATCAGATGCGAATTGGGGCTGTGGCCGTAGGACAGTCCATTTCCCGACGTCGACGAGCCGCCAACTCCTTGGCCCGCCTTCATTTCCGTGGTCATCGAGTGGAGGGCCGCCAGCGGGGGACCCAGGAAACTCAGCGGCAGCTTGTGATCCATCGCGTTGTTGTTGTTGCTGTTGCTGTGCAATCCCGGATTGCCCCCGTGGTTGGCGTTGTGCAGGGCCAGAGGGTTGACCCCGTGATGATGATGCTGGAACTTGGCCCGCTGGCTAGTGAGATTCTCGGGACTGTAGTCGTTCTGCGCCTGCGGCGGTGGACTGGCTGATTCGCTGGTCTGGCAAGGGTCCTCCGCGCCACTGCTCCGCTGGCTCAGGGCATACGACTTGGCACTGTCCACGCCGGGACTGGAGTTGTGCTCGTAGCGCGGCGACGGCGAGGAATCGGAGTGGAGTCGGGAAGAGGCGGGTGGCGGGGTCGTCGAGGGCGAATCCGAGTCCTTCAGACCACCGCCATGGGCCGCCTTCAGCAGCATCAGCGGACTGCTGTTGTTATTGTTACTGCTATTATGGTTGTTATTATTGTTGTTATTGTTGTTGTTGGCATACACTGCTGCCGCGGCCGCTGCACTGTGATAGTCGGCCAGCTGTTGCTGGTAGTCCGCCGCTGCCATCGCATGGGCGTGTACATCCGCAAACCCGTTGCTCATGGCCGCCGCCAAATGATGGCGCTGCGCCGCCGACGGCGGACTGCCCTGGGCGGCGGCCGCGAAGCTGTGATGCCTCATGTACGGATTGATCAGGTCCATTTCCGGTGCCTCGTGTCCGTAGTCCAGGCACTCCGGGTGCTGCTGCGGCGGCTGTCGGTAGAAGCCCGGCGGCAGGGCCAAGTTAAAGGCGGAGTTGGCGGACAGCTGGAAACTCTGGGCCAGCTGCTTGGCCGCCACCTTGGCGTCGGGCGGAGGGGGCGTGGGCGAGGGATTGCTGCTGCCACCCGACGGCGTAATGCTCAGGAATGGACTACCCAGCTTGGGATCGGTCTACGGAAAGGGCTTCACTCGGACAAGATGCTATCTTTGACCACTAGTCTCGTCAATCTTGTCTTAAGTATTTTTTGATAGTCTACCGTTGATACTTTTGATCACTAAATCTGTTTTATTCATTCCAATATTCGCCTATTTGTGATGTCGTTGCCTTAATATTTTATCGGGTATTGTTCAAGAATGCAATTCTTTTAAAATCTTTTTTTAAAATTTGTTTTTCATAGGTGGAGTAACATATAAATCGTATATATTTTAGTTGTAGCTGTATTTTTAGTCAAGTTGATCATTTATATGAAAAGCTAAGTTTTCATTCTCACAATTTTTGTTTTTAATTTTATAAGTTATTATTTAGATTTTAAGTCTGTCGTTCGTGACCAAAATATTGTTTTTTTTATATCAAAGATAATTAAATCTTTATTCACAAACACGAAACCAATTTTGCGCTACACCGAAAACTGTTTAGGTTCAGATCGTTCTTGTTTTTACAAAACAACACTTTGGATTCACCGATTTTAAGCGTGATCAGGTTACTGTTTTTGGTAACTCCGTGGCCGAGAAGTATCGGAGTGAATGAAGACCCGCGCGTGTCCGCTTGTTTAGGCCTACGACTAGCGAATGATTTGGAAATTGACTCGACTGGCCCTCAGTCGCACAATCTCAGCTTCAGTTTCACATTCAGTTTCAGTTTTGGGTACGGGTACGGGTTTTCAACCCTCCATATTCCGATTCCACTCGCAGCATCACCTACTGAGCGTGCGAGCGGGAGGGCTGTATATGGTTGGCCTGCTCGCACAGAGCTCAGTGTCTCACTCTCGCCCACAAGAGCGTTCCACAATCAGTGTAAACACGAAATGCAGACTGGAACGCAGTGGCATTGGCACAAAACGAATGGGAATTTTATTATGTACATCATTAAAATCAACTATTTCGGATTCGGATTGGAGCCTGGGACTGAAACGGGAACTTATCCTGGTCCTGGCGCTGTCTTTCGTCTCGCTCGCACCTGTTCTCCTGTCCTTTTCTGGCCACTGTATTGGTGTGGCTGAGTGCATTTTCATGGCTTTTTCTCTGGGTCTCTGGATTGTGGGTGGCCTTTTGTCGACTGCGAATTCCGTTTATTTGTTTAAAAAGCTATAAATATTGAGACGGCACCCAGCTTTTTTCGTTGGCTTTATTCATTTAAATAATTAAAAATGGTGTTGGCGATAAATGAGAGCAATAAATGTAAGCGAAAAACTAAGCGGTAATGGGAATGGTGGAGAAATGGAGTAAATAAATTTATATTTAATTGTTAAAACAGGTTGCCATAAGTTTTTAATCATAATAAATAATATTTGAGACATTCAATATCCAGTTTTTATGATAGAATACAATAAAGAATAATTTAAAGTAGTACGCATTGGCAAATATTAGAAAAAATTTATAGTTTATGTGTACAAATCACATCGTGTTAAGAAGTTTTTTTTAGTAGAATAAGTTTTGTGCTTTACTATACCAAAAATCTCCCTGAACTATGATTTACTTTCAAATGTTTATCTGCCGATTTCTCCAACCCCTTCTTTCAACGCCGAACTGAATTAATACGCTAATTAACATTTTAATATTATTATGTGCCTGTCGTTGGGTCTGAGAACGTTTAACCCACCGAAGGCTAACGATTTATATTTATGTTTATCTATATAAAAATGCCGCTGTTGATGGTGTTACACACACACACACACACACACACACACACACACTCAGTGGCAGACAGACGAGTGGTCCACATACAAATACAAAAATGCGCTTCATTTAATAATAAACTACACAAAATTTTAATTTACTCAGACAAAACGGTGAGATCTCATAGGAACGAAATGGGAAGTGCAACCGAAGGCAAGGCCACGCCCACTAAAGCCAGAGAGGGAGAGAGAATGGCGACCGCCATTGTTGAATGAGTGAACACCAGTGGGAGAGGGAGAGAGCGAAAAACCCACTCAACCGTTGAGTGAGTATCTTTATCATTTGTTGGGTTAATTTCCACCACAGCTTGTTGATTTTCGACTGTGTTCTTTATTTAATTGACTTGGCCGACCCATAAAAACGTTGGTTGCTTAAAACTTAAATACTCTTAAAAACCTTACTCATTTCTCGGTATTTATATATGTTTCTAAACAGCCCGCATCTTTGGCTTTGATCTTAAGCAAATCAATATAAATTTATGCATGGCAGAAAAACATGTCATGAAATTGTTTCTTATCGCACTTAACAGATCTCAAACGAACAACAACGAAAAAATGTACACCTAAAATATTTATTGGGCTAAAGACAAAAAATATCTAAAATAAATTTTCTTTAATAAGAGAAAGATACTTACCATACCATATACCACATAGTTTTGCTAAATGTTTACAAAATATATACTAAAGAAAACCCTGTAATACATTTTTTGAAAAAAAATAGTAATATATTTTTAAATAGTGAAATTAAGAACAATGTCAATAAATTTATCTCTGCAGCAAAAGAGTCTGTGGGCATAGTAAATTCAAATTAAAAAAATGAATGCTCTTAATACATTCCTACAAATTCTTTTTTGTAGTGTAATCAAAAGGCCTCTAAAAATTTGAGTCCCACAAAAAATTTAACAAGACACTAAAAACTTGGTAAAAGATAACAAAACAACACAAGCCTCAACTGTGATTGATTTATTGTTTTATTGTGCCAAAAAAAGAGAAAATGAAAAACTGAGAAGGAAGCTGGAGAGAGAAATTAAAATTTACAATAGCGATAAGCAGAGAATTGAAATCACTATTAAAGGCCCAAAAGTTGGACACAAACTCACTGCAATGTTGTCTTTTGAGTCGAATCAACCGAGGTTGCGCTGGGTAATTAATATATAATTTGTGAGATTTTTATTTTCTTTCACATGCTGGCCCTAAAATCTGGGCTCGACTGAGACGAACTGAAAGGTAAATAGCCATGGCTAATGTCTTAGATTGGTGCTTTATGAAGGGAAAGGGGGCAACGGTCTAGGATTACCCCTCACTTACAGTTCATTAAACCGTAAATGTAGGTATGAGTCTACAAAACTTTGGTATTTATGATTTGATTGTTTGAAGGTAGTAAAATTTCTAAAGAAAACTATATTAATTTTAAGGTCACATGGTTTTCTTGCCCGTTGATTCGCATTGAAAACGAAATCAATTTATAAATCACAATACCTCTACGTTCGTCAAATTAAAAACATTTTGAAGACATTCAGAAATCTCATTCTCAAATCATGACCGATCCAAACTAAAGGCTAAGCCCTCCCCCAAATCCAGCCAATATTTGCTCAATAATCCTTTCCCAAATTTGAATTTCCCATTGGCCACATAACATCTGCGACTTTGTACCCCTTTTATCCCCGTAATCCGAAACCCAAAAACCAACTGCTGACCAATCTATACACAACAGAAATTTCGTTTCACACCTATTTGAAATTTGCTGTCATCTTTGCTTACTGTTATTATTATTATTATGATTATAATGTGTTTTGGAAACGAAATTGGGGCAACCGCAGGAGGCGAAGACTGACGCAGCTGGGACTCATGTGTGTTCGTATCGGAAAATATATATGTTACTTTTTTATGCTCTGATTCGGTCAGCAAAACAAATCTCACATTTGGCATACAATTTGCATTATTTGAGATTGTTTTTTGTCGTTCCCACTTTCTTTTTTTCTGCGTGGTGTAAAGTTAAGTCCGGTTGATGTATGTCAAAGTTACGTGAGCGTGTTAAAATCCTGTCTAATTTAATATCTATAAATCCCCAGCTATGACAGCAGAGGCCCATCAAGCGAGGGGATAAAAAAGGGTTATCATCGCAGAGGGTTGCTTATCAACGTGGCAAATTGATTTGCGCTCGTTATGCGGTCACTTGGGGTACATTTTTTGGTCAAAATTGTAAAACCGAAATTGGCCAAACGTGCGTTACAAATTAATGTTTGTTCGGGATTTTGTTTCTCCTTTCCCTGTGCTATTATTATTTTTATTTATTTTCGTTTTTTTGCAAACAGGCCATAAACCCTTTTATACTTCAACAGGATGTGCCGCCTGATGCCGAGTTATGTGGTGCAAATGCCCTCGTGGGTGGGGTTTTATTGGTCAGGCAATTCAATGACATCGATATGGCTTATTGATATTGATAGAACGTGGAGGGAGATACCTTTTGTCGGGGAAAAAATTAAAAAATGAGCTTCGGGAAATACAAATATTAATTAAGTTCATAATATTATTATTTATATTATATATAAATTATTTATAATATTTCAAAAAGTTATATTATATTAAAAGCATATTTTGCGGTTTCAGAATATTGATACTTTGTTTATTTTGTTGTTTATATTTATAACAAAAGTAACTCTATTTATTAAAAGTAAATGTAAAATATTATTTAACCAGTTGTAAGTTAAACTACATAATATCAATCTCTAAAATTGTATAAATTCAACATTAATTTTAACGTAAACGCAAACGAGTCAGTCTTTGAATATTATATTCTAAATACTATTTTCTTTTTGAGTTTAACTCTATAAAACGATAGAGAACGATGAGTTGCACAAATTATTCTAAGACAAAGAGAAGAATACAAATATTTATTTGATAACTAAAAAAATTGTATTATATTAATAACATTATTTTGCGGGTGTATAATATTGATATTTTATTTATTTTTTTTTGCTTATATATGTTGTTATGTTAACCAGTTGTAAGATAAATCTACAAAATATCAATCTCCAAAATTGTATAAATTCAACATTTTGACGTAAACGAAAACGAGTCAGTCCTTAAATAATATTTTTTTTTAGTTTTACTCTATAAAACGCTAGAGGACACTCTAACTCCTCCTCTAACCTCATTTAAGTACAATGTGAACTTTCTTAGCAACAATTTTTATGAGCAATCGTGTTATTTCATATCATTTTGTGTCAAAGCGTTTTCCCTTGTTTACTCACAGACTCATCATATTTTTTATAGCATACTTTGTGCGCACTCACGTTAGGTTAGAAAATGTCGCCTCTGATTGCTTTCTTATTTGTTTACATTTCCAGGCTATTGGCATACGCCAAAGTATAGAAACAGTGTCAGGAAGACAAGGATGAAGGAGTTGGAGGGCCAATAGGACGTGCATGGCATATCAAAAAATCGAAAACACCCGACACATGTTTCAATCATTTTCCATTTTTATTTATTGTCAGCATTTATTCTGCTGACACTTTTCCAACCACTCGCTCGCCCCGGAATCGTTCCTCCATCGCTGATGTTTGTATCTGTATGTGTGCTTAGAAAACAATTTGCAAATTGCTTCAAAAATCTGCCTTATGCCAAGACGAGATCTTTGAATGAATCACTAAATGGAAATTTATCTGACTGCAGAAACGGATTTATTTTTCTGCCGCAGTAATTAAACAAAAAATTTGCCAAGTGTTAATCAGTTTAAGAAAGTGGCAGCTGCTGGGAATTTAATTTCTTAAACATGGCCCATAAATTTTCCTTTGTGGCTGGGGGTTACAGAAAAACGTATTGAAACCCATAAAAAGTCAAAGAAGTCAAGGAAATGAAATTGGGAAAATTGTAAATATT